GAATAATGATGATGATGACGATGACAGTCCTCTGGCATAAACAGTTATAATGAAAAACATAACTTTGTGTAGAAATGCATAGCTGACACTACTTGTAGTGCTTCTTTTGTTTCTTCCTCTTTTATTTTTCAAGCTGGAAATGTGGAAATAACATTAAATTAATTAATTGACAACATGACAAACAACTCATAATTATGATTCATTCACAAAAATAATTTCTAGTCCTGCATAAACGTTAACAAGTGATCTGAATTATATATTCTTGAGTCCCGATTTCCTACTGAATTATGCATGAAGCACTGGGAGATGGGCGGCCGGTCTCACCGTCACGGAGGAAATCCGCACAGAGCGGTATATATAACGTCATAGTAGCTCTATCTATTTGGACCATTTACAAATGGATTGTCGATCGGAATATTACAGGAATAAACAAACGAAACTTTGCTTCAAAACAAATTTTACAAAGAGAAATATTAAAAACATTGTCAAATCTGTCAAATATTGACACAACCGCGTGTTATTAAACAAAAAGGGGGATAGGAGAATGATCAGTATAATTCTTATGTAAAATGATAATTCAAATGCTTTGCAAAAACTTAACTTTAAGTCTTTGTTATGCCAATTGTGATGCTTTTGTGATTATATAGGTTTTATTTGTTTCATAGTATGCATGTAAACCGTGCATACCTAATAAATCCTCTAATGAGGCAAACAAAAATGATGAATATTGTTTTTTCCCCTGCTAATTTACAACAGAATTGGTAAGTTTTAGAATCCGTTAGATTGAGTTAGATAGAGTTTCTTTCTCAGTGCAATAGAATTACCAAAAACTAATTTGTAATCTTTAAATCTTTTAAAGTGCATGGAGATGGCAACATATTTATGTGCTATATAAGCCTCATATTATTAATGATAAATAACTGCAGCTAAAATATTATGTTTGCACAGGATTAAATAGTTCCAGGTTACAATCAAGATTTACACGATTTTTACAGGGTGCGAGGATGCATCTGGTCTGTCCTCCATTCTGTTTTGTACTATAGTACCCTTTTTTGCTTTTCTTTATCAGATATGTTTTTAAAAGAAAGGCGGCAGTATTCATATTTGAAAAACATTTGCCATGAAAACAGCATCAATAACAACCACACCTTACACAATCTGATGACCCTTTTATTGGCTTTTTGAAGTGCTCATCTTTAAACAAATCTGGATCCACCCCTGGATGATAACATTTTTTAGAATCTTGTTCATGTTTCATAAAAAATGTTATCATTGTCAAGTAACAATCACTGTTATGAGCTACTGGAATAATGGCATTTGATTGGCTGGGAGATATATTGTAATAATTGTCTTGCGTGTGTTACTAGTTAACGAGTAACAGCCGACATGATTCATTTCTTGTCTCTAATTGATAATCCGTAGTCTCTGAAATAACGAGACAACACCATTTTGTCTGCAGAGGATAATACGGTAAAAAGAGGATGAGGTGATTGTATACTTACTTTTTGGACTTTCGTTCCCTGACTCCACTCCTTTCTCACTCATACCTGCATCAAAATACATGAAGAAATACATTCAAATTAAAAAGAGTTAAAGTCGAGTGGATATTAACCGGAGTTATATGGATCACAATGTATTGGGTTGGAAATATATATCATCATCAAATGGGATCTGTCAGTATGACAGGTTCAGTGACTTACATCAAGTGTCTGTCCAAGTAGCTCGGTCTCGAGCCATGCGTTTCAGCATTTTATATCCTGTTGCTCCACATTCTGCGATTAAATCATCTAGAAAGACTTTACGAGATCTTCCCCTCTTCTTCTTTTCATGTAGTCGACCTTCTATGACTCTGACGATCAAAAGGTCGGTTTGGAAATATCGAGAAAATTATTCGGTGGCCATAAACAATTGAGGTAAAATAATTGTGAACCTAATCCCACTCCTGACACCAAAAAGAATAAGAAATAATATTCTATACTATGTATACATAATGGAAATATATTTGTGAGCTTAAAACAAATAAAAACAGAATCAGGGATGTTTGACAACTCCAGGAGTACCAAGAATTCCTTTATACACAGAAGTAAAATTATTGCACCAATAATCCTAAAGTGCGCCAATCGGCTAACATATCATTGGTGTACAGCTTGAAGGTACACGGTGAACTTAACAAAATTTTACCTGGCATTATATTCATTAATAGTTGAAGAGTATGAAGAAAATTAAGTATAACATAATCCCCCACTCACGAAACTAAAGTTGGACTTGGGCAGGTCTTATTCTATGTCAGTGTGTTTAGGTGTGTCAACGAGTCTAAACATGAATAATGTTTATCTATATTAAAGACGCATAGTAAATTGGGCTCTTTAATGGAAAATTTGACACCATTTGTGTGTTTCCCAATAACAGGTGTTATCAATCACCAGGGTCAGCCTTAAGTGTTATTACCAACAGGCATTATTTAATACTTTGCATTTTCCACCAATCACTCCAAATGGAAAAGTTATTACCTTTCATTTCCCTTACTCAAAGACTCTCCAAGAGACTAGGAGGTGTTTAATAATGACACCATCAGTTTGCTGTGTGGAAGATTTGTTTCAATAGAGGGTAAAATAGTTTTTTGTGGAGTACCAAGTCTTATAGACCTACCAAACTTGAACTTGATTGCAGCTGTAGGGATGTTATGTAGTCCACACTGGAGTGACATTCTCTTGAAGCAGTCTTTAAGCCGTTTCTTCCTACTGCACCCCGGGCACAGAAAGCAGACATCATACTTGATCCTCCTAGCCCAGTGCTGAATAAGGCTATCAAGGGTTTCCGTTACAAAGTCCATCACCTGCCATAAATACACAAACAGCCGCAAGACATATATTATATCTTAGTTTTTCTTTTTGGCTACTTCAAGCTTACTTAATTTTGATTTAAATTCACAGTAGACGGATCTGCAATGAAACTGTCATTCGGATAGTGCATGAATCGCACGTCACATTAGCTTATTTTCTCTCTTAACCTAACAAAGTCTGCAGAGACACTTCAACAAGTATTGCCGTTCTGGGTGAAGGGAAAAAATGTTCCTCTTATCTTCCTTATCCACAAACAGTACATTTATGTTGAGGTTTGTTTCCAATATATCTCTACCCAAATTAGTCGAACTATTGATATTCTCTTGGAAGTTGATTTAAAATTGTCCATAAACCTACTGACACAGAACGGTTTCAGAAAGGTCTACTATTTTGACGAAGCACCAAGTTTCATAGTTTGATAACTGAACTGAGTTACCACATCAACTAGATGTATAATATGGATTAAATTAACCAGACTTTAAGAAATGTAATTTGAGTTAATCCGGCCTTCAACTGTAGATGATTTCTAAGTCAAATTTAAGTGCCCTTTGGTCTAATTTTATTGTCCTCCAATCTAACAGGACTCAAAGTTTCACCACACTTTAGTACATAGGATTGTTAGTGTGCAAGCAATTACAGTTAACTTCGCATATTACACGTCGTATTTTTGATAGTTAAATCCATTTTCTTGAGAAACCTATTGAGTCAAACGATTTTTGTTATATGACATATCCGAGACTATGTTACCGGTGACAACTTCAATTATATGGTTCAGAGACCTTTCTCAGATGTGTACTGGTAGACTCAAGCAAGCTACCAGTTTTCCAATCGAACAAACATGACTGTGTGAACGTGCATAGTAAATGTCAAAGAACTGGTCTGCGCCTCCTTCTCTCTTTATTTATATTGTGTAGTAATTGAAACAATCCTGTTGAGCTACCTACCTCTTTGACAGCACTTGGGGCTGGAGATGTATTATTTTCCCCATTATCATCAACCGCTCCTTGATATACAATGACCTGATATGTTCACCATCAAAGGTAAAGGGACATATATTTAAGAAATTAATATTATGATGGTGTGTTATTGTGTTCAGTTTCCCTCAGTTTTGTGATAGTTATTTATTAATTTATTTATACATTTATTTAGTCTGTGTTCGTTTGACAGAGTATGTTCCTCAGCACACATAACCTTATTTGAAAGAGATTGTGTATACAATTATACAATTAAAATAAAATTTAAAACAAACAAAACAATTAAAGAATGACAGAATATTACAATACATTACAAAACGAAACCAGAACAAAAAGATAGGTTGAAAAAAAATTATATGGCTTCTGATCAGCTCTTGAATACACCATCAGCTACGAATGTATGTGTATTTAAAACCAATAGAAACGGCGAGATATTATGAGCTTCCATTTTCAGATTGGAGCACTAAGAACCAGACCTTGATACTAAATTATAGGTAAAATTTAAAAGGTTACACAATGCAAATATATATCAAAAAAATAGGAGCACTGGTCCATTACGTATCGACAGTATTATTGTCTTTGGGAGAATGACTATAACATTGCCCGGCGGAGATTATTCGTTGCCTTTGAAGGTATCCGATGCACGGCCTCAAAAACTTTACATACAATTTAGTATCTCCACCATGATAACAAAAAGGTATCGCTGACGCTTGACTCAAACCTTGATAGTTGCTTCACATGGAGGTGACATCTCTAGTAAGGCATGGTGCACTCCATCAACCATTAGACTGATGTGACGATGGAATAGAGTGACTGGGGTTTCATCTCTTTCACCCATCCATCTGACTGCTCTCGACATCAACCGATGAAACAGCCCGTCTGTGGAAATGGCAAACAAGAGAGATGACAAAAAAGAGTATGACAAGTGACGTTTTAAAAGCCAGCCCCAATAGATATATTAGCTGCAATAATACTTAAAGACAAGTTTAAATTTCTAAGAAAAACAAAAAAGAGTTTCTAACAAGATGGACTAAACTCTGACTATAAACATAATCATAGTGGTTTATTAGTGGTTTATATACCTGACCGCCCTGACACGTCATTTGGCAGGACATTAATCTACATTTGCCACTGTCCACCAAGGTGTTAAAAGGGTACCGACATGGAGGAATCCCTTGATTCGCTAAGGGCAACCTACAACAAGTAACCCAGAAGAGCTGTGGTAATATTGGAGCACCCTAAGCAACTTGCGTGGTGGATATGTTCACTCTGAAATTTTCAATATCGATATTATCATTAGAATTTAGGCAAATCAAAGAAAGATTGTAGACTAATCTGATACAAAGAAATATCATAAATAGTATGTAGCTTATCAATTTTCTACTCAAGGGTGAAGCCGATCCTAGAATTTTAAAATCTATCCGTGAGTTGGACATGGTGAACTTTGTGTTTACTTTTGATGCGTTGGTCACCTTTGGCAAGAACCTATTAAGGTCAGTCAAACTTGTTTCATTAGGCAACTCAAGAAAAATAGAGCAAGTGGCCACTGTAGACAGGTGTTCTCCTTCAGGACACACATTTCTTTCTCAAGGGATACAAAATGTATGACCTGCCTAGACAGGTGGCATTTATAGGAAGGGGCCACTTAGACAGGTTTGACTTTATACCCACCTTGTTGCAATCGAATTGCAATATAGTCTCTTTGGAGCAAGAAGAACTCTACGATACATTACATGTGTTAACACCCTCCTGGCTGTAAACAGATGATAAATTCATCCTCACCTGGTAAGAAGCCTCTGAAGTCCAAATAAAAGTCTGTAGAAGATTTGATCTGTGCCTTCTCTTCTTGGGGACAAGGGGACGTCAGTCTGGAAGGAACATAGTAGCGCTTATTTACCACCTTCTCTGTCTCATTTGATACCTAAAATATAAAAACATATCCAAACACTTAAACCATAAATACAAAACAAAATAAAGCAAGATACAAACAAGAAATCTATAAATCTATGCAAAAAACAGTACAATTCATATTTTACTCATCATTTAGTTTTACACATTCATTCCGGCCACTAAATTTTGGGAAGTTTCACAACAACATCGACCCATTGAGCAATTCTGATTTCCAATTTCAGAAATATACATTTCTCTCCTTAATCTTTACATTTTACAGCATATGTACCCATTTTCAACCCTGAGTAAATATCTACATATATATATATATATATATATATATATTAATATTTACAAAAGCTGGTAAATGTCCCGTGTTTGCTTCTATATTGTCTGAATATTTCTAGTCGCAATATTCAGAGGTTAGGGTGAAGCAAGATCCTTCAATAATTGCTTTTTTTAATGTCCTATCCTAACTAAATGTATAACTTCAGCAATGAAACTACAAATATACCCTTATTTTAACCCTAGACCGAAAAACCAAATAGCAACCATAAATCTAATCCTATATTAATTATAAATATTTTTCTTTTCGGGCATTGCCGGGGGAGCACGGATCGGGACACTAATTAGCTGGAGATTTTACCTCAGTGTCTACTCCATCCTGCTGGGGTCGTTCTACAAAAGCGTCACATATGAGATCGAACTTGGCCATGAGCTGCACTAGTGCCTCCTTTTGCTCCAAGAATCCTTGCCACATATGCTGAATCAACCTATCCTCTAAGATACCATCCTTCTCAAGAGTGACCAAAGCATCACTCACGATTCCATCCTATAATTAAAACACAATGTCAACTTAATGGCAGTTGGAATATAAACTGGACATAGGAGTATAGATTGGAAACCATTACTACGTGGTAAACAGAGAGCTTTGTTACATCAATATTATAAATAGTATGCCCTATCATTTGTATTAATACTATAAAACTCTGTCTCTAAAAATAATTCTTTACAGGCATATTCACATAGATCATAATGTCGCAGTTTACTGCATTATGTTTTTAATTATACTACACTTCTAATTCTCGATTGTTTAACACATAGACACTACGGACATTGTTGATGTATTGAGCTCCATATAAACCCACAATATGATTATAAGCGGAGGGGAAGACTGCTCACCCTCTCTGCAGAATCCAAGATGATAATGACCTGTTTGAATACATCAATTAGCCACGTGTTCTCCTACGATGTCTTGTATGACAGACTGCATAGGACCTTTGTGGCACGCGATTACTTTTGAATGCCAAATTCCCATGCATTTCGTTATATCAAAAAAAAAAATCTGCAGCTTACTGCAGCAAGAGTGAATGAGGTTGTAAAGGAGGAGGTTTCTCACCCTCTTTGCGGGATCAAGGATGGTTATGACCTGCTTGAAGACATCAATTAGCCACTGAGGATTCAGGATCACCATGTCTCGTAGTAGAGACGTCTGGTCTTCAATGCCTCCGTAGTAGACTACATTACCAAGGTCGTGGTAAAAGGTCAGCATCGTGAGAAGTTCATGCTCCAATTCCATCCCTACTGACTGTGTCAGCTCCTTGGCCTGGAAGAATGCAAAAAAACGGTTTCAAAATCATCATATGATTGGTGACAAACATCACAAAGAGTAGCTATTAAATGAATAAATATCGTAACAGTAACACTACATTCAATTTACACAGGGCATACACAGAATGTGAATATATTAATCAAGCAAATCTGTTACAGAATGCAACACGAAGCCTCAGTCTTATCCCATGATTTTCAAAGGGACTACTTCAATTTATTGAAACAGGCATGAAGTGGCTTATTTACAAAATTGAAAAGGCATCATTGATGGATGCATTTAAAAAATGTAGCTTTTTATATTCCCAACAATACCAGGAGACTTGTAGGTAGCTATGAAGAAATGAAATAAGGACTTAACTTAATTTTCCTTGAAAATGAAATATATACATAAATACATTTGTTAGAAAATTCGGTACCAACAAATGGAAAATTTTAAAGAAAAACAAAAGGAATAAAACCAAACTAGGCATTTAAAACTTGAAGTTCAAATATGAACTGCATACATACAATTAATCTCCAATTTTCTACCACTACAATAAACCGAACGCAAAATACATGAGAATGACAAGAATAAACGTTGCAGTCATACCTGATCTAACGACATGTAATTGATTTCATGTGCAGCTAGAGCTTCTTCAAATAAGAGCCATCTGAGTGGAATCTCTTCTCCCATGTAAGGCTCTGCCATCGCTACTCTCTCAATATGTCTCCTCAACGCAACCAGCTACAAAGGAAAGTACTTATTGGTGTGTTTTGTGTTACTTGACATGCACCTCAAGATATTTACATCATAATAAAAACTTCAAAACCATATAATAAATAATATAGGGATTACATCACACAGTAAAATTAGGAAAGATTCAGACAAAATATTACGAAGATGTTGATGAATAATTAACACGTTGGCTACTGAATTTTTTGTATCTAATCCCATAGGCTTAACACATGGACCACCAGGTTCCAGTAAGCAATGTGTTAAGGAAGTGTCATTAAATATTCAATGATAAATTTAATTGAGCATGTTCAGGAATATTAAGCTAATTACACAAACATATCACTATAGAGTAACAGAGGGAATAATTGCACAGATGTAGCGCATAAATGTGGAAAAGAATTGCCAATGGGTAATGAAAGAAGTGATATTTCTCTTCCACATTGATTGTATATAAACACACATATTTGTACAGTTGTATTATTACCCGAGACAATTAAACCATGAAGCCAATAGCTCGTGTCAAGTATTCTACAAAGAATAACTACCAATGCCATTTGATTTTAGGTTAAGAGTAAATGCCTATAATTGATTTTCGTCGAGCACAGTGAATGGAAATCAATTTCACTATGTATAAATATGAACTACCTTAATATTTATGCGCAGTCGATTAAATTACAGGAAATATTATTTATCTAAATAACTTCTCGGTAACTTGCATTGAAATGTTTTGGACATTGTCATAGAATCATATTGAGGTTAGATGTCAAAAGGAATACGCACCTAGTTAGCAGAGTTAGCAGCTTTTAACAATTTAGTAAAAAGTTAGATATTAGGAGATGGTTATGTCAGCTCTTTGTGTATGAAACAAAAATCTTAATATAGGCCATAGTTAAACGATTGGGACAATATTTAAGATAAAAAAAAACCCTGAGTCTAAAATCCATCACATTTCGTCCCATGACTCCAAGCTGTTTTTGTATTTTGTTACAGAACAATGGACTGCATTAGCTTAACTTTTTTAAGTGATATATTATTTTTAAAGTGGTCCAAAGATGTGGATCAATTTGAGCAGCACTTCATAACTGCAAGGAAAAGTAATTTTACATTTTGGATTGGATGCAACTGGATTTGATAGATAATCAGTAACACTCTTTTGTTTACAGGTTAATATAAATTATAAAAGTTGATGATTATTTATGATGTACCATATCGTCTTTGTCCTCTAAGCTGTTATCAATGGCATAATACTCGGGAACCACATGGCATTGAAACGGCCTCTCCATGATAGATTCACGGATCTTCTTAAAGGCAGAGCCGATCTAGAAGACCAAAAGAATGAAATGAACAGAAAATACAAATATTAGTCATAATGTTGAACATGCATGCATACCTCACTTTAGATGAGAACACGATAATCTATGCACAATTAGAGAATGCCGATACGAAATAGCATAACGCAATTAAAGTACACCATGATATCTCATTGGTTTTAATACAAGAGGGAAAATGCGACAAACAGATCAGTGAAGAATTGAACAAAATCTGTATACAAATATTTCATTTTTTAAGTTATAATCAATGCAAAACAATTAAAAATTAAATGTAGGAGCTATTAAATTGAGCAAGCTATAGTAAGTTAAAGTATATATTTCAGTTTGTGTTATTTTTTAAAATAACAGAAAGTGTAATTTTGCAGCCAAAATGTATATGTGAAGATGTAAAGATTGAACAAATTGTAGTATCCCAGGTCTGGCGAGATGGAGTCTCATCGGAACAACCGTTGATATCAGAGACTAAAGCGTTCAGTCTGACTCAGGGTATGGTACTTTTTGTTCGATATTTGTCGTGTTGGTGTCAGTCTAGTCGGTGTAAATCGAGTATCAAGGGTAGGCCTATCTGAGAATATGCTGTGTGCTGGTCGCGAAAACGAACAGGTGGGGTAAACAAAATTGTTACTTCATTATAAACAAACGTTTATATCATAAACCATTACCTTTTCCCTTTTCTCTTTTGCATCTCCTTTCACACTTTCTCGATGCGTTCCAACGATGAATATTGGTGGAGATTTCTGGGCGGTTTTAGACCGCGTATTCTTATTTATGACTGAAGACGGCGCCACCGCATGGGCGTAGATGGAATACAACCAGAAATTGATGAACTCTAGACATGTCAGTTCTGATTTGGCACCTCCTTTAACCTGCGTTTTAATTGTAAAGAAGTATGCATGGTAAGGCCAACGATAAAACACACAGAAAAATCATATTTGGTAATCATTATAATAGTGTAACGCATACATGTCCCACTCCTTGCGTCCAACATATTCATAACATAATCACGAAGAAGGCTTGCAACATAAACTAAGCTTGAACCTTTGCAATCCTTTATACTACTCCATAATTACTGTATATACAAAAGGGATATTAAGTAAAAATAATTTATGCTACAGTAAAAGAATTAGAATTCATTAAAGAATAGGGATGAAATAAGATGTATGAGAAGATGACATGCGGAGATGGTACATTAATCATGAAGAGAAATAGCAGTAATCCTTGATATTAAATTGGTAAAACATTACAGTTGCTAATTTTTTTTTTTTCTTCTCAAAAGCTGATCACTTTAATGTCATGCCCAAGTGTGGACGTGATTGGCAGGATGACATTGTAGGCCTACGTGTATTTTCGAACAGAGATAAGTGGACATTCAAAGAGATAGAAATTTCAACTATGTAATCTCAAAACCCTGCTCTTAAAAAGTAAAGGAAAACAAAGTGTAATATATCACTGATTTAATCGTACCCACAATTTACACAAGTATTAATCCAGACGGAAACAGGTTGAATCTACGTTTAAAAATAGTCAAAAGGAACAAGAGCTTTAATACATAGCATCTATACTTTAAAAACACATTGTATACGATTAATGGATGATGAGCAAAAGTAAAACTTTACAAAATAACTTTAGGAAAATAACTGATGTTTGGCAAAGAAAGCACAACACTAGTTAACATTTATCTATCCCCTGTAAAGCATAATTTATTTTTGCTAAGCAGTATAAAATAAAAGAAAAACATACCATTTCATAATTCTTGTCTCTGGATTCAGGGGGAACGACAGAATCCAAACTTCTACTGAGATCAAAGACAATCACATAAATAGCTCGCCACGTCAGAAATACCTACAGGAGAGGGAATAAAAGTGATGCATAAGTATTTAATAACTACAATGCTATGATATTTCTATATGCTCTTATATTTTCTATAATAATAAAGAACCTCAGGCACTGTTTATATACGATTAACAACTAAATGATTCATACCCTTTGGTGTGTTTGTGTGCGTGTGTGTGTGTGTTTTTCGTAACTCATGAATGCAAGGTGGACTGGTTGAATTAGGCAAGAGGTCTCTAAACTGCACTGCAAACTGAGACAGTGATTTCTTTGAGAATGAGATATCTACACTGAAACTGATCAGAACAAAATCACAATAAAAAGATCATATAGTTAGGATATGAAATCCATAATGGATGTATGGAAAACTGTTGTCAATACAATTTATTCAAATTTTCTATAGAATCTAACAATACTCTACAAATTTGCTTTCATGGCACCACGGTATAATTTGCAAGGAATCTAATGTTCTTAAAATGTTATTTTACCTGATGGGTTGAGTAATATATGTCGTGTCCAGCAAAGTCCCATATACTTAGTGAGACTCCTTCTCCTCTGCCGCTATCAATCATGTCTGTTCCTATCTCCTAAGGAATGAGGAAAATTAATACACATCTATATGAACAACTGGCAACAACATTTTACAAAAAATAACAGGAACATCAGTACTTATCCTGAAGACAATCACAAAACAACTTTATCCAAACGCGTATCATGAAGAGATCTTCTGTATCACATACTGTAGCATCATTTTTAACAAAGAATGAGCAAAACATCCAGTAAGCATATAGCCATTGAGTATCATGTATATATATATTCACAAGGTTTTTTTACACCATGGAAACATGTTCCAAAACGGCAAATTTTCTTCCTTTCCTTGATAGATCTTTCTCACTCTCATGTTCCTCAGGATCTAACATAGATTGTTAACCCCACTCCTGACACCAAATGAGGTTGAGATCAGCTGGTATGCTAATCTGTATGTTTTCTTGGATTTTGAAGTACTGTTACTTTCCATCTCTCCATCTTTCAGGGTCTAATGGAGTATCTGCCGCTATACGCTCGTGTGGAAACACACCAGATTTCGATGATACCATTAAAAGTAGTAATAATAATAATAACAATACACAACATTTATCAGGCGCTTAATACGGGTGTCTCTAAGCGCACCATTGTCTTATTAACTCTTATCATGCCACAGGGCTAACCCCCATTGTGCCAAGCTCCAAATCCCCCCGTGCCAGGTTGCTTTGGAGATAATGTGATTAACGCAATGGTTCTATGAATAGCGAGTGCAAAACACACAACACAGTCCAATGAGCATGAACAATAAAGACTATTACGAGTGCGCCCTCGCACGCACATGGCACTCAAGCGATGGCTCTCTCACATATATAAATCACTATAACGATAGCGTGCATGCAGCCTTGTGACAGGCTATGAGTTAAACAATATTAAACGAAACTTATAATAAAAAACACACATTATAAATCAGTTCTTTATTCAATAAATCATGCACATATAATAATACAAATAAAAATGAGATCAAAACATACATTAGGTCTAATATAAGATTCTAGGATAAAACAAAAGCATTGTAGAAAATTGTAAACATATTATACCACATGAAGAAAGAGGGTTCAAAAATGAATTCTACCTTTAGGTTAACCTGTTCCTTAAGCATTTTCTCCACCAGACTTGCTACTTGATTTGGCATATTGTCACCCTCCTCTTTATCCTTGGGCACCTCCACATTATCCAAGACAAATTCTTCTGTAAAAAAGGAGAAATATTATGTAATTGTAGGATAAACACATGCATAATTATTCTACATCTGCCACTCTACGCCCAGGTGTTAAGTGGGTACCAAGAAGAATGCGAACGTTAGAGTGGCTATATTGGCATGTCTGCGTTTGTAAATGGATCATGTTAAATATCATCCTACCTCTTAAAATGGCCTTCAAATGTGACTATGTTTTTATCATAATCATTAAAATTGTGAGAATATTAAATTTAAGTGACATTTAACGAGTCAAAATTGATTACAGTTTTAATTGATCACTGGGTTATAAGAATTTTTCTGTGGGAACACTTTATAGGGATGTTATACTTATTTGTTATCAGCTTTTAGTGATACTGTTTATCTTATGGATGATACATTAAGGATAGATCGACTGGTATCAAAGAAATCAAACAAACAACACAAGCTAAACTAAAAATAACAAAAAAAACAAAAACAAAAACACAAACCTGATTCTGATGAATTCAGGCCTCTGGCGAGAGTAGTATCGCTGTGTGGTTCTAAACTTTCCTCATCCTGTACAAAATAAACCAGTATTAATATTGCCACCGAGCAGCCTGCACTACCCACATTACAACTAACAACTAGAACTACTTTTTAAGTGGTTGGTGAGATGAGTACACTCGATCTGTATTCATTTAGACTTTCATTTTAGACTGGCCTAGAGTAATTTATTGTGTATTTGCATGACTAACTAAAAACTCGATATTCCAGATACAAACAGCTAATATCTACCTTGGGCTGTTGTTTGTTGATGATTGGTGGTTTTAATTTATATTGGTGAGAGGTTTTGTTTATTAGTTTAGAAATATAATGCATATGGTAAGTTTTAATTTATATTGGTGAGAGGTTATGTTTATTAGTTTACAAATGTAATGCATATGGAAAGTAAACAGCGACCTCGACATACTGTAGAGCAGCATTTGTCAGCCTTTCTCTCAAATTATTTATAGAAGATTCATTTTCCATCACTGGTACACCTCAAGTGCTAGGTACACCTTTATGGACACATTCTGTTTCTTGGAGCGAGCAAAACCAAAGAATTGTTTAAGGTGCAAAAAATGTTATTTTGTAAACGACACAAACTAGTTAAAATTATGGTCTTATGTATGCGGGAACTGGTTGCATAATACATGAATTCAAAGTCATATATTTGGTCACATCGATGCACGAATATAGATATTCGGGCATCTTGTGTCAGAATCATCCTGTTTCTAAATGTTCTGGGCGAGTGAAGTGAACAAGTAGGGTAAAAATGCAATTTCGATATGAAAATGTAAGATATATACTGGCACCTCGTTGACTAAGTATGTAGCTATTCGGAAACGTCAATGCCTAAAATCCTACTGTTTTTATGTGTTGCGAGAGAGTGCAGCGAGTGAGGAAAAGAACATACTCTTAATTGTCTACAAAACGTTATTTCTTCACGAAAATACATAACGGTTTTTAATAATTTTTTCTCACGAAATTGATTCTTATTTCATAATGGATCAAATGATAGATGTTGAAAAAATGCGTATCCCAAATTAAAAAGGCTTCTGTAGTGCATCGTAGTCTAAGACAGCCCTTTAAATGTTCACTTTTTACTTACTACTCAAGTATATTGCTTTTAAATTCGTTTAGCGAATTGTTGACATCCTTTATTTGTTCCGAAGGTCAACATAAATTCACATTTCTTTCTTCTGGCAGACTTTCACTTCTCCATTATAATTACAAATCACTACTGCATTTACTTCCGTAGATATTTTTATTTGGATTAACAAGTAAGATAGTCATTTCATTCTCTGACTCTCTCACTGGTTTACCTCAAATCAGAAAAACAATACCTGGATGAAGATTATAATTACCTGTGGTGGGGTCACGGTCAGACTCTTTGCTATTTCATTCGCAAGAGCATTTTTATATTCATCCTCTGTGAAAGTAAATCGTCATATATCATATTCTACAATTGTATCATATCTTAATATTAGACTGTATGGATCCATAATAATTTTAATTATATGATTTCAGGGCAATCCTGCCTTTATAGGAAGTTAACAATTACCAGATGGCTAGACATACGATGTGATGTGATGCGAGTCCTTCAATTTTTCCAATATACATCTTGACTGAAATATTATTTCGAATTGAATTGAATGATTAATAAGAGCAACAAGAACAAAATACATCTATAAACCTGAACTAATATGTGCTTACAAATAGTAACAAATACGTTTTGATAAAAAAAAAAAAACATTGTCATTTGTTACCAACAGTTTGACAAATTTATAATGTCAGACTTGAAAAAAACAAATATGCAGATAATTGTTTTATTTTTTTAGTAAAGGGCAAAATCTTTGTTCAAGTTTTGCTTACCTTTTATATCTTCATTCCCATGTCTTTTCTTGTGAATTGACCACATTTTCCCGCCAGCCTTTGCAACCTCGATGCTAATTTCACATGCATCTGTTGTTTCTACACCGTCCGTTATTGCCTCATTCTTATCAAATCTGAGGCAAATTAAATAATAATAATAGTAATAGTAATACTATTAATAACAATATAATTAATTATAATTATATCTACACACTTATATTCCGATGCACAAAGTAAAACCTACAAAACAAAGTATTCTAAACGTTCGACAAGCTGAATTGGGTAAAATCAGAAAAAAATCCGAGTACAAGTAACAACATCCAATAAATAAATGATAAATTATAAAGTTTCCGAAGTTAAAATCACTCAAGCTATGTGAATCTCAAATTGATGAATTAGTGAATGCAATTGTGAAATAATTTTTGACTTAGTTGGGTTGAAGAGCTCTCCCATATATCGCCACGTACAATCATGAATTTCAGGTCTATCCATAACACCTGTTCCCACGGCTGAAGATCATTGTATTTCTGAATTAGAAACATGTGTTGTTGATATTAAGATTTGGATGTTGCCAAACAAGTTGATGTTAAATGATAACAAAACAGAACGTTTGGTCAGTTTACCTCCATACCAGGTTTCTAAATTTAGATCGCGTAGTGTATCAGTTGGTGACTCCACCATTACCCCCATCTGATACTGTTAGAAACTTAGGTGTGTCCTTTGATACCCACCTGAATATGGATTCACAAATCACTAAAATAAGCAAATCAGCCTATTTCATGATTTATAATTTGAGACGCATTCGTAAATACTTTGATCAGGAGAGCATGAAAACAATCATGCATGCATGTGTCACTAGTAAACTAGATTACTGTAATAGTTTATTGTATGGATTGCCAGACTCCCAAATTTCCAAGTTGCAGCGGGTCCAAAATACATGTGCACGACTAATTTGCAGCCTCCTAAAATTCTCTCGAATAACCCTACTTCTAAAGGAACTACACTGGTTGCCAGTTCGCCAGATAATTACATTTAAAATATTAATGATAGTCTACAAAGCTCCTAGTTATGTTACTAAATGTTACATATCAAGTTTCAAACTCATGGTCGTAACCTTCGTAGTACACAAGACACATTTATGTTGCAAATACACCCATATAAAACCAAAGTAACCCTCGGGGACCGGTCATTTCTCTGTGCTGCACCTAGATTATGGAATAAATTACCACTAGAAATATGGAAAGCACCATCACTAGATAATTTTAATAAAAACTGAAAAATAACTTGTTCATATATTATGTATAGCACAGCATTTACGAGCTCTTGCAGCGCAGTAGAATATATCCAGATAGTTATTGCGCTTTGCAAATAAATATTATTATTATTATTATTACATCAAGTAAAGAAGAAGGAAGAGAGAGATCCTATCCAGTATACATGTACATCTATACTATATTCTGATCTTATTCAAGTGTGTGCTTTATGTTCTTGATAGTGCTTATAATCAATTGCACTTTTATATATGTTACTTTGGTAATGTATTTCGTCTGTATCCAGCAACAATTATCATCTACATTAGAAAAACTTTTACCAAAGTTTATTACTCTTGACTGTACATCACATATTCAATTTTATATCCTGCATCAAAAAAATGTTGGCTTTTGATTGGTTGAGAGCTCGTCACATGACCAGAAATATTTGAACTATTTTTAGAAAGTACTAAAGTAAAGGAGTGGGTTTTCGGC